TGCAGCCTGTCAGTTGTCCCGTGCTCTGGGTCTTCAGGTTTTTGGGACAGCAGGGACACCAGAGGGGATGAAGTTGGTCCTTAACAATGGAGCTCACCTGGCCTTTAATCACAGACAAGAAGGATACACAGACAAAATCATGGTATTCACTCACATAGAAGTCAAGTGGCAGGAAAAACTTGTTCTGACCTTCTGAAAAATGCTCCGTGTGTTTATGTATTCCAGGAAGCCACAAAGGGCCGAGGTGTAGATGTGATAGTGGAGATGCTGTCAAATGTCAACCTCAGTAAGGACCTCCAGATGCTGGCCTATGGAGGGCGAGTGATGGTAGGACTACAGTTTTTCTTTTTTTATAGTATAGTCGTGGCATCTTTAACTGGTTTATCAGTTTACTACTCCTCAGAAATGTGCTGTTAACAATCCAGCTGTGGTGGACTAATAATAATTATAGTACAATATTAAAAACAGGACAGCTATAAGGAAACACTCACGTCACTCCACACAGGAAGTAGTCAGCTGTTGTTGACATATCAGGGTGTGATAAATACATCAGAGGGTTCCCCAGGCTGAAATGTCCTCTAGCAACAATCAACTACAAAGCAAGAGGTGAGAAGCAAATAACGGACAAAGCAGCAGTGTTCACTGTTATTGAAGAACAGGTAGTATGAATAAAAAGTATGAATGACATGGTGTGCAACAGGAACAGGAGGTTGTCTGTCATTCCCAGCTAGCTCCAAACTCAAACAATGCAGCTCTTTATAAAATGTATTTAGGTCTTCTTTAGCTCAGCTTTGTTAGAAAATTTTAAAAACACCCAGTTGTTCTGTGTATTCTGACAGACCTGTTGCGGCATAAAAGCATAGCGAACTAGTTAACTGTAGGACATAACAACAGGGTGTAGCAGGGGAACAGTGATGAAAATGCGTAGTAGTATTTCTAATGTTATGTTGTCAGGTTTGGAACAGTACATCATTGTGCTGGGATTCATATCTACCAGAAATGTTCTGATATACAGTTATATACAGTAGTTTACAAATACTCATTAATCATACCTCTACTTTGCTCTTTTTCTTTAGGTTGTTGGCTCCAGAGGATCTATAGAGATCAATCCCAGAGACACCATGGTTAAAGAGAGCAGCATAGTGGGAGTCGCCCTTTTCTTTGCAACACCGGTACAAAACAACAACATCACAAAATTTGTCAGTTATCTAATTTTTTTTAAATTTCATTTTAAAATTTTGTTTTTAATTCAGTTAAGCCTATTTTCCAGAGTAGGTTTGATTGTTATTATTTGAAAATGTTTAGTTTGTTAAGGTTAGTGTTCCGTGCTATTTTTGTTATTATTTTTTATTTTATTGAGTTTTCCAAGTAAGAAAAACATGCACATTGGTAATGCTACTGCCAAAACCTTTGGCTATGACTCCATACATGATACATGATAAATATGTACAGAATTCTTATTCCGTGCCCCACTTGGTGATTTGGACATCTTTCTTCTCCCCCTGCTC